GGAACTGTCTGTATCTATTTCTTATGACCACTTTTTTTTTTTTTTGGTCTTTTTGAGACAGGGTCTTCTTGTAGCCCCAGCTGTCCTGGAACTCACTATGTAGACCAGCCTGGCCTTGAACTCACAGAGATCCGCCTGCCTCTGCCTCCCAAGTGCTGGGATTAAAGGTGTGCACCACCATGCCCAGCATCTTATGACCATCTTAGAATAGCAATTTGAGAGTCCAGGGAGTCCCAGGCAGCCTAGGGATCCATCAGAGTGGTTATGAAAAACATAAAAGTCAGGAGCCATAAAGCCTCTTAGGCAAGTCACGTCTCAGGCAGGTCATGTACCGGTCAAGAATTCCAACTCACAGATAAGTAAGCTTCATGGCCGAGACATCTCCAACTCGCTAATGAGCGAGTTTCAAGGCTGAGACATCTCCAACTCACAGATAAGTAAGTTTATGGTTGAAACATCTGGCTTAATGATAAATAAGCCCCCCCGCTCTCCCTATAGCATTTTGTAATAGTTTAAACTAACCAATAACCACGCTTCTGCTTCTGTAACCTGCTTCTGCTCTATAAGAACCCCAAACCCCAGACCTGGGCGCGCTTCTCCCTTTGTCAGGAGTTGTGCCCACAGGTACCTGTGTAAAATAAAAGCCTCTTGCTATTGCAACTCGAGGGCTCGACTTGTCCTTTGTGGTTTCAATTTTACAAAAACACAACAGAAGCAGCAGGCTGGAGGGCGGGGGAAGCGCAGGGCCAGAAATGCTGCACTTCTGCAGCCGCGGGCAGCAGCAAGAGGCCCGAGTGGTTCCCCTTTCCGGAGGCTCCGCAACGCGGGCAACGCCGGAAAGGCACAGCAGGCGCGCGCGGGCCACACCTGGGGGGCCTCTCGGCCCTCTGCGCAGTCCGTGTGGGCGCGCGCGGGGAAGTCCCGGGTCCTTGTCAGGAGGCGGGCGAGACCACAGCGCCAGGCCCGGGGGGAGCGGGAGCGCGGACATGGCCGCGGCTTGGGGTCAGCCCTTGTAACGAGGGCTTTGCCCCCGAGGCCCGGGCGATGACTGAAGGCTCCCAGAGGGACGCGGGCTATTGGCAGGCCGAGGGCTTCCTGCCGGGAGCGGGAGGCTGACAGTCGTCATCCAGCCTCCCCCGTCCATCTCCACGTTGGACGCGTCCACCTCTAGGCTTCCGCTTGGGTCCCGCCCTCCCGGGCGTGCGGAGCCTGGAGCCAGGCAGTTGGCGCGAGCTGCGGGCGAGGCGGGGCTGTGCAGGCCCCCTCCCGCTCCCCGCAGGTCTCCTCCCCGCCAGTCGGGTCCCCTCCCCCTCAGGTCCCCTCCGGAGCGCTGGGCGCCACCTACTTGCAGCTAGGCTCCGGGGGCCGCCGCGGCTGTGGGGTTGTGGCCGGCGGAGGACAAGGTCAAGAGACCGGGTGGCGATGCCCGAGTGCGGCCAGAGGCAGCCAAGTGGCCGCGGCGGCTGGGACCCGGCCGGCGCTCCTGACTGGAGAGCCGGACTGGGGCAGGCGCCGCTGAGGGGCCGCGGAGGAGCCCGGGAGGCGGCGGCCG